AACATCATTGGTCCTTAACCCCTTAAGAACCAAACTTCTGGAATAAAAGGGAATCATGACATGTCACACGTCACGTGTCCTTAAAGGGTTAATGGGTTAAATTATGTTACCCTAAAACTGTTTATTTCCTGTTTCAAAGAAAGTTAGATCTTAAAGTCCACTAAGGGAAAAATCCTTAGAGGCCTGGCCCCAAGTTGCCCACAGTGGGGGGGGGGGGGGCAGGGGGAGGTATTGGTGTGTGTGTGTGTGTGTCATACATCTGAGTTGTATTTAAAGTCTCCAGTATGTTTGTTTTCCCTATGACATGAAAATAAAAGATTGTCGTGTATTCTTTTCAGTAAGGTACATTCTAAATACATACCGTAAGTTCCCGACAAATTGATATGCATCTGCTTTATGGTGAAGGGAGAGTTCTGCAAGAATGACAATGAATTATGGAATGACACTTGTGCTTATAATAAAAAAGCTACCCACATCAACATTCTGAACCTCTGTTAGCATAAACATACATGTAAGGCACTGAATCTCAGAGCAGTATAACTCTGGCAAGTGAAAGTGTAGTTTAGTACAACATGCGGTTATGCTAGCAGTCAGCCGTAACTTACCTACGTCAGTTCTGTGACTTTGGGAATCTTGAATTCTATTTTTGTATCTGCAACTTTTCTAGTACCCCCATGGACTCCATACTTAGCAGATAATTTTAAACTCTCTGTGAGGATTATTTTACCAAATATTTTGTAGGATTGCCAAGGGGCTAACATAATTCAAGCCAAATAGGAAAACAAGTCAATTAGGTTAGTTTTTCCAGAATGGCTTCTATGGTGTAAAGAGTGAAAATGTTAATTTTCCATAAGTTGCCCGCCCCCCCCTCCCCCTGCATCCCCATGTTCCACACTAAACCCCCTGCTTTTGCCTGGAAGCCTCTGAATCCCAAATTAAGAAACTGAGAAAGTGAAGATTGTGTTTCCACTTGATCGCAGTAGAGAAAGACTGCCAAATAATACTTAACATATAATCCTACTGAGATAAAATCACACATCATGGATTCATATGAATGATAGTGTGGCAGCAGGCATCATCCAAAGATAAATTCTTGATATTGGTTGTTATTGTAGCACTTAATCATAAGCCATCGTGGGATCTTCTGAATCCTTGTGTGAGTTTTACACTGGCTGGTTTTCAATATATGTGGATATATTCAGTGGGAATTTACTGCAGTTTGTGGATTCTTTGAAATGAGCTTTCTTTGATATAAATTATTGTTGAAGGAACGCATGTGACTTTTTATTTTTTAAATAAATACTATTTAGCAGGTATATCCCCAAAGAAAGCATGAATGCATTTATTTATGTATATGGACATTGTGTATATATCTAAAAAAAATTTTGCACAATCTGTTCTTTTGACTTTAGCCTTTGCAAGAACTCCCGTTTTAACCCTAGTACAAGCGTTTCCAGCTGTGCGGAGGAAATGACCAATCAGAGGCTTCTCATTGAGAAGCCTCTAATTCTCAGATGCGGGCCAGTGTGCCCTTCCAGGTGTGTGTGTGCAATTCAGAGTACGCACACCATAGAAGGAGCTGAAGAGGACGCCGGTGCCGGGAGGAGGATGCAAGAGCCAGGAACAATGAGGTAGAAAAGCCATGTGAACATGTTGCAAATGTGTTCACGTGCTCTCCGACTTGAGGGAGGCCTGCCACGTCCATTAGCTCAGTGGAGCTAACAGAAAGAGTAAACCTTCATAATTTATTGATAAACAGTGCCTATTTCTCAAAGAAACAGGCACTTTCAAAAAGGGCCAGTAAAATGGAATACGCCTTGCCCAAAAAAGCACTTCAGCCGTGGGTGTGGAGTGCTACTTTAATGTTTGCCAATGCTTGAACCCTAACATATTTTTTGTAACAAACCAAAGATTTACTCCACCATTATTTTTATTCTTCATAATCGAATTTTAGATTTCATTTTCACAAATCGGCTTAATTCTGAAAGCTTTACAAATATAAAAATGCAGAAATTAAAATTTGGTATTGATTGTATATTGCATTTGAGCATTAAAAGGACACTATAGTCACCAGAACAATTATAGCTTACTGTATTTTTTCTAGTGAATATCATCATTTCCGTCAGGCTTTTTCCAGTAAACGGATGGAAAAGCATTGTGATTGGCTCAGAGATTCACTTCTGATGATATCAGCTAAGGAGGCATATAAGGGACAGAGGCAGCAGCTGCAGACTTGAATACAAGTAAGATTTTCACTATGTTTATGGGGCAAGGGGAAAGGGAGGGTGAGGGGGGGCAAGGGGAGAGGGAGGGTGAGGGGGACAAGGAGAGAGGGTGAATTGAGGGGGTCTAGATTGTGGTTTTAACACTATAGGGTCAGGAATACATGTTTTTGTTCCTGACCCTATAGCAGTGATGGCGAACCTTTTTGAGCCCGAGTGCCCAAACCGTAATACATGCCAATTTTTTTCCCCCTCAAAGTGCCAAAACGGCAATTAAACCTGAATATTGAGGTTTAAGTTTAGAAAAAACAACTCATACAGTTGTCCGAACTAATTAACATCTGTGTGTGTATTAAGCAGTTTGTGTGTGTGCTCGGCAGTCTGTCTGTATGTGTATTTAGCAGACTGCTGAATACGCACAGACTGCTGAGTACACAGTCTGCTAAATACACACACACAGACTGCTAAATACACACACACACACACACAGACTGCCGAGTACACACACACACAGACTGCCGAGTGTACACACACACAGACTGCTAAATACACACACTGCATTGAGGGGTACAGTGTATGTGTTTGTGTGTGCGGTGATGTGTTTGTGTGTGGGGTGATGTGTTTGTGTGTGGGGTGATGTGTTTGTGTGGTGTGTGTGTGTGGGGTGATGTGTGTGTGTTTGTGTGGGGTGATATGTGTAGGGCAGGGGTGCTGTGTGTATGTCGTCCCCTCTCTCCTGTTTTCTTTCCCCCCATCCCTCCCTCATTCCCATATCTCTCCCATCTTTCCCCCCATCTCTCCCCCTCAGTCCCCATATCTCCCTCAGTTTCCCCCCTCCCATATCTCCCTCAGGTTCCCCTTCCCCCCCATCTCTCCCTCAGGGTCCCCCCCCATCTCTCCCTCAGGTGTCCCCTTCCCCCCATCTCTCCCTCAGGTGTCCCCTTCCCCCCCTCTCTCCCTCAGGTTCCCCTTCCCCCCTCTCCCTCAGGTGTCCCCTTCCCCATCTCTCCCTCAGGTGTCCCCTCTCCCAAAGTCCCTTCCCCCTCTCTCTCCCTCAGGTTCCCTCTCCCTCAGGTCCCCCTCTCTCCCTCAGGTCCCCCCTCCCCCCTCAGGTCCCCTTTCTCTCCTCAGGTCCTCTCTCCCTTGTGTCCTCTCTCCCCTTGTGTCCCCATCTCTCCCTGCCAGATGTCCCTTCTCATCTCCTCAGGCCCCCCCATCTCCCCTGTGGATCCTCTTCCCCATTCTCCCTAGGTGTCCCTCTTCCCCTTCCTCTCTCCCCTGTGTCCCTTCCTCTCTCCCTGTAGGTCCCCTTCCCCCATCTTCCCTAGGTGTCCCTTCCCCTTCTTCCCTCAGGTGTCCCTTCCCCTCTCTCCTCAGGTCCTCTCTCCCCCTCTCCCTCAGTCCTCTCCTCAGGTCCTCTCTCCCCTCAGGTCCTCTTGAGCTCCTACCTTGTAGCGTGGCCGAGCGCCGCGGAGCTCAGTTTCCTGTACCCGGCGGACAGGAAGTGTTGTCTCTGTGAGCACTTCATTTCCGTCCGCCCGGTACAGGAAACATAAGTTCCTGTACTGCGGTGCGCTCGGCCACGCTACACAGAGTGCCTGGCAGGAGGGAGCGCTCTGCGCTATGCGCTCACCTCCTGCCGGTCACTCCGGCTTTGCGCCCGCCGGGCCGGTGCGCCCTAAGGCCACTTGTGCCGCCTTATGGATGCGCCGGCGGAGCGCACCCTCCCTCCCTCCGGTGACCTATGGCCGCGTGCCCACAGAGGGGGCTCGGCGTGCCACCTGTGGCACGCGTGCCATAGGTTCGCCATCACTGCCCTATAGTGTTCCTTTCAATAACCATTATAACATAGAATATTAATGGATGTATTATCATATCTCCTTTGATAACATTCATGCTTTCGCATATGTTTCCGTTTCTGTATTTTACGTTGACTTGCCATAAAAGCGTTCCATTACTACTGTAAGATGGCTGAGCATTAAGGAAATGTAGTCCTCCAAATATCTGTACTGTGTTATAGTCTTTATTTATTAGCCTTTTTAATGATTCATGAGATTAAAAAAAACATGCTTGCTTTAGCAGTGGATACAAAGCATCAGTATCTGTGCAGCCTAGATGACTGATTTTCATTTAAACAAAAGAAAGATATATTTTATGCAAATGAACAGCTGTAGGAAACTGAAATTTGTATTATGATAGAAATGGGCCAGTACTTGAACATACATATGTTTGCATAAAACTGTATGAATAGAATTCATTGAAAGTAAACCAATGTTTAAAATGTTTGTGTTTAAAAGATATATGAACATATAGCATTTCCTTTTTTTAGGTCTTCTTATAAATGCACAGCATATACATTTCACAGGAGAAATGGTAAATAAAATTTGAATGGACAGGTTAGCCCAGAGCTGCTAAGTCAGTGCTTTTAATGGGATTTGTTAGCACTTTAGTTCTGAAGTCATTTTCCTGACATTTTGATTTGCGCCACTCTTACAAGTTTTAACCCAATTTAAGCTTAAAAAAATGCTTTCTTTCTGAAATGTCATAATTGACTAAAGTCACGTGAAGCTCCAGAATGGTTATCATGTCATAGAACAGGGATAGGCAACCTTTGGCACTCCAAATGTTGTGGACTGCATCCCCCATAATGCTCTTGTACCCATAATGCTGGTAAAGCATCAAGGGAGGTGTAGTCCAAAACATCTGGAGTGCCAAAGGTTGCCTGTGCCTGCCATAGATCATGGATGGTTATGCTGGCCCCTTCAGCTGAGGACCTTGAAGAACAAGCGGTGATATGAATTGTAGTGTAATAACTAGAGGGCCTGCTGTTGTGTTTTGTGATTCTTTATTGACTTCATTGTGATGTCAGAGACTGGTGAAGTTCCCTTTTTTTTTTTAGAACAATTTTTACATTTTAAATTAACGCTGTGATCTATTGTTCAATTCATTTTGTAAAACACCTATATTGCATCTGACATCTTCCCTTTGAAAAAAGGGACATGTTTATTTTGAGCATATAACAAACAAAGAAACTAGGAAGTAGGATTTTTACAGGACCTGAATTCCATCACATGTACCCTGAAGATGCTGAAACATTATTTAAAGGCTGAGCATAGGCAGAATGCGCAACAGTATGTAAAGTGTTTATATACCAAAAGGCACAGAGCTTTTAATATAGTAACAATAGATAGTAACAATTTGCCTTCCATGATACTTCTAAAACATTTCACTATAGAGAAGTTAGGAATTCTTATGGCATATGTTTGGTTACGTTTTATTAAACGTTGATTTAAAAAAAAAAAAAAATTGAAGTCTATTCAGTTCAGCATTTTCTCTCTTGATCCAAAAAAGGAGAAAAACACAACAAGGAGTGAAGTTAAAGTATTCTGCAAACAAAAAAATGATTTCTAACTTCTGAAAAGTAATCTTGTATTTCTGCGGTTTATTAATCTATGACATTAGTCCTATGTTAGCCATTATAGCCCTGAATATTTTGCCTTATTTATATGAATACTCATCCCTTTATACAATAAAATGTTCCATATTGTCACTGTCCACCAACATAGAGGTATAAATTTTGTCAGGTATAGTGTACTTGCTGCTGTGGCTCACTATTGTTTCAGAATTCTCATGTAGGTTTTGTCAGGATTACTAGATGATCCAGTTCGTAGAATTATCTCACACCTAGTCCTAAAAGGTAACGTCTTACCAGGCCTTAGAATGGCCGGACTTAACGTACCAAAGAATAGACAGAATACTTGCCGTGGTCAGGGACACAGAATAAGACACAACGATGAGGGAAAGTCAAACGAAGCCAAAGTCAATAACCGGACAACCACTAGGGAAACCACGACAGGGCAATGAGCTGAAGAAATAGATGAGTTTAAATACAACTCTTGTGGATCCGATTGACCATAACTGGCCTTTGACCGTGAGTGTGCGTCCTTTGCGTGACGACTCGCGCACGTCGATGTCATCCATACCGTGGGTAGACGTGGGGCTACAAATTGGTGTAGATCCGCTGCAGCCAGCATCCATCAACATGCTGCAGGGGTCAGACATATTGACGCATGGCCGCTGAACGTAACTACCGCACTTGTTGGCAAGGCAATTACTATCGATGTCGCAAGGTGAGGATGAATATGTTACAGGTTTGTAATGCAAACTCTAGTAGTAAGCTTGTCTAGATAAGACTCAGAAAAATAAGTTCTATTGGAAAAATCTAAAGGTAACTATCTTTCCTGGGACAAAGGAAGTTGCTATAACACAGTTACCAGTGGCGTACTAAGGGGAGGCGGAGGGGGTGGTGTACTAAGGGGGGAACGGAGGGTGCGGACTGCCCCGGGTGTCACCAGGGTGGGGGGTGCCATGACCCTGGTCTGGGGGATGAAGGGGGCTGTGTGAACTGAACGGCCGCACAGTGCCCCATGGTAGTTAGGGTGCCGGGCAGCCAGAACAGCTCACACACGCAAAGAGCAGCTGAGCTGGCAGCACAGAGGTAAAGCGGGGGCGGGGCTTAATACGGCCCTTACCCACTGCTGTTACTGCTGCACATGGAGGTGCAGCAAGATGGAATCTCTGCTTCTTCACAGGCTTCAGGGAAGGACTTCAGGGAATCCAGTCCTCCTCCAGCCCACTGTCTGTAAGTAAGAGTGTGTGACTGTGTGTGTAACTGTGTGTGTAACTGTCTGCCTGTAACTTTGTGTGTGTGTGTGTGTAACTGTCTGCCTGTAACTTTGTGTGTGTGTGTGTGTGTGTAACTGTCTGCCTATAACTTTGTGTGTGTGTGTGTCTAACTGTCTGCCTGTAACTGTGTGTGTATGTGTGTGTGTGTGAGACTGTCTGCCTGTAACTGTGTGTGTAACTGTCTGCCTGTAACTTTGTGTGTGTGTGCGTGTGTGTGTGACTGTCTGTCTGTAACTGTGTGTGTGTGACTGTCTTCCTGTAACTGTGTGTGTGTGTGTGTGTGTCTGCCTGTAAGTGTATGTGTGTGTAACTCTCTGCCTGTGACTGTGTGTGTGAGTGACTTTATATGTGACTGTCTGTCTGTAACTGTGTGTAACTGTCTGGCTATGACTGTGTGTGACTACCTGTAACTGACTGTGTGTAACTGCCTGCCTATAACTGTGTGTGTGACTACGTGTTACTATGTATGTGTGACTGTCTACCTGTGACTGTTTGATGTTGCCTGTAACCATGTGTGTGACTATCTGTCTGTGACTGTGTGCATGTGACTGTCTGCTGCTGCTGTGTGTATGTGTCAATGTATATGTGACTGTCTGCCTGTAACTGTGTGCATGACTGTCTGTGACTGTATGTGTGACTGTCTGCATGTGACTGTGTGCGTGTGACTGTCTGCCTGTAACTGAGTGTGACTGTATGCCTGTAACTGTGTGTGTGACTGTCTGCCTCTTAATGTGTGTGTGGGGCTGCAGGGATATTGTAGAAAGGGGTAGGGATTTTGTATTGGGACAGGAGTCTTTACAAGGTTACAAGGGGGGATTTGTAGACGGGGAAAGTACAGGATTTGTAGAAGGGGCAGGACAGGGGTTTTGTAGGAGAGGGTGGGGCAGGACAAGGGTTTTGTAGGAGGGGCTGACAGCTGCTTTGCAAAGTTTACAAATTGTAAAAAAAAAAAAGGAAACGTTTACATTTTTTTACAATTTTTTTTTGGAGGGGGGGTGCCAAGCACAGGATCCGCCCCAGGTGCCAAATGCTCTAGGTACGCCCCTGACAGTTACAACAACATCTGATCTTTATGCATGAAGCAACCATCAAAAAACAATATTACACACATTCAGGTTTCAGATGCTTTGGACATTTCATTTTAGTACCATGGTTTGTTCTTATAATGACATCTCTAAGTCCTTATATGGATTCAGCCTCTGTCAGATGGACTTTGTTTGCTCAGTAGGATTATTTAGACACGAGAGACAGCACAGACAAGTGTAAATGAGAAATCAAACAGAGCAATATGTTGCATGTGCAACAACGATAATCTTATGCTATTCGTTTGATAGTGACAACTTTTAAAAACTTGAACAACA